GTGTCTAACATATACTTTATAATCTCTTCTTGTATCTTGCAAGTACAGTATATCATCATAACTAATGATTCTATAATTCCATAGGCCTGGTAAAACATTTTTTCTATGCCATCATGGCACAAAGTTTGACTCAAAAAAAAAACATCGATATTTCGATTTCGCTTATAGTGGATTTTTTACTGGTTTTCATGCATCATGCGTTGTGATAAAAAATAAAATTTAAATTAAACAGTGTCAATTGGCAATTAATTTTAAGGAATGTAGGAAATGTCGAAATTGGTATAGACGTGTTCTACAAAATTTTAACAGAAATAATTTCGGAAGAAATACCTCTGAAGAAAAAAAGACGTAACAGAAACACACAAAATCCAGTCTGGTTTAACAGACAAATAAAAAACTTGAAAAATCGGAAGCAAAAAGCACATAAAATTTATAAAAAACACAATAGTAGTAATAATTTATTAATTTATTTGGATCTATGCGATCAACTGAATTTACTGCATTTGAAGAATATAATGCAAAAACTGAACGTGAAATAAAGTCCTTTCCTTCAATAATGCATCTAGACGAAAATGTCGGTGATAGTTCGGAAAAAACTGTAATCTATTCGCAAAATTTTTTCAAGAAATTTATACGACATTTTCTGAAGAAGATCGTGACCGCGATTATTTTGCATTTTATCCAGAATTTTCAAGGGACATTGGCCTCAATCAACTTCAAGTGCAGGACATTTTGCAGGCTTTCAAAAATTTAGATGCCTCAAAAGGTCCTGGACCTGACGGAATTCCTCCAATATTTATTAAATGTCTAGCAATGGAACTCACTGCTCCATTGTTTTGGCTTTTTAATATGTCCCTGGAATCCGGAACCTTCCCTAAAATTTGGAAAAGCTCATTTCTAGTACCTATCTTTAAATCTGGTCGAAAATCTGACGTACGTAATTATCGTGGTATAGCCATTATCTCTTGCATTCCTAAGCTTTTCGAGTCAATTATCAACGAAAAATTATTTCTCCAAATCAAAAATAGAATTACTGACATGCAACACGGCTTTTTCAAGGGTCGTTCGACCTCGACCAACTTACTTGAATTTATAGACTATTCATTGAATGCAATGGATAATGGAAACCACGTAGAAGCTCTCTATACAGACTTTAGCAAGGCATTTGACCGCATTGACATACCAATGTTACTCTTTAAACTGCAAAAAATTGGAATTAAGTCAGGGCCCTGAAATGGCTTGAATCATATTTAACTAACCGCCAACAAATAATTAAATTCAACGGAAAGAAATCGAGCCCAATTCAAGTCACTTCAGGCGTCTCCCAAGGCTCTCATTTGGGACCTCTCCTTTTTATTCTATACGTAAACGACATATCTTACATTCTCAAAAAACTTAAATTGCTTATTTATGCCGACGACATGAAGCTCTTTTTGGAAATAAGAAATGAAGAAGACATCAATATATTCCGGAATGAAATACACATATTCTACATATGGTGCAAAAAAAGTCTACTAGAATTGAATGTAAAAAAATATAACTTAATATCATTTAGTAGAAAAAGAACAACTTCAAATATTTCAATTGCATTAGGAAATCAAACTGTAGACAAATGTGAAAGAGTTAGGGATTTAGGAATTATCTTAGACTCTAAGCTAACTTTCATAGACCATTACAATACAATTATTCACAGGGCAAATAACATGCTAGGCTTTATCAAGCGCTTTTGCTATAACTTTCAGGACCCTTACACAATTAAAACACTATATATTGCCTATGTGAGGTCAATACTGGAATATTGCAGTATTGTATGGTCTCCATTTTCAATCACGCACGAAGAAAGATTAGAATCAGTACAAAAACAATTTCTATTATACGCTCTTCGTAAATTAGGTTGGACTTCATTTCCTCTTCCATCATTTGAAGCACGCTGCATGCTTATAAACTGAGTGGTGCGAAGTGAAATTTTCTTCATTTTGGTAGTGTTGAAATAAACGTTTCATCACCGTCGGTTGGTAGAGAGAAGTGTCAAACGGCTTTTTGTGCAGAGCCGATTCGTGACTTTGTGATTGTTTGTTAACATTGTTCATAGCTGGAGTTTTTACGGAGTGGAATAAAATTCAGAATGAAGTGTTTTGCTCACTTTTGCAATTATAAAGATGGACACGACGAAAAGCGAAGCCTATTCAGGTTTCCCAAGGATTCAGCAGTACGAAAAGAGTGGCTCAGTTTCTGTGAGGTGGATCTCAATTTTCAAATCAAACCCAGTGACCGTATAAATTGTTGCAAATCAGAATGTGGCCGACGATATCTATGGAAGTGCTGTTGAAATTCCCTGGGACCTCCAATGGCAACGATTTGAATTCCCTCCAAATCGTGTGAAACTCGAACATGAAAACTCTATAGAACCCCCGTAGAACCTCGCTGGCAGCAACTAAAATATCCACTGAAACCTCTTCTGTCGCGGGAAAAATCTGTTGAAATTTCCTGGAACTTTTGTACTATCATCACAAATCTCCTTAGAACGTTCTCCGAAGTCACAGTCGTTCCTGAGCGAAAAAAAATCGGAGGGGTTTTTTTCAGCGCAGGAGTCTACTTTGGTCCAAAATACGCAATAATACTGTTATTTTTAATTGTTTGAGTCGTTTCGAATCACGTTTTTAAAAAGATCAAAAACATTACTGAAAAATATTAATTTTTTTATTTTGGACGATAACAATACTTCTATCTATTTCAACGAACCACAATGATAAAAAAGTGGTTCGATTTGACAGCTCGAAAGTGGTTCGATTTTGAGGTCCGTCTTCGCACCACTCAGCTTATAAACATACAAACATTAAAAGAGCGTCGTGAATATGCAATGGTTTCATTTGTAAATGATATCGTTTCGCAGCGAATTGACTCAACAGAACTTTTATCAAAATTAAATTTCCATGCACCCACTCGGCAACTCCGAAATCGAAATTTATTTGCCATAAAACATCATCGCACAAATTATGCAAAATATGGGCCATTAAACCGCATGATGGCCTCTTACAATAAACACTGCGAAACCATTGACTTTACAATGTCTCGGCATAAACTAAAGCAATATTTTTATTCCATAAGAAATAACAACTCATAAAAGAAAAGACAAGAAAGCTGACACTACTTTTTTATATAAATATATATTTAAGAAAACAAAACTGTATTAGTTGTACTAGTCTACGTTGGTTGACGAAATAAATAAATAAATAAATAGATAAATTTGTGTTGACGAAAGTGATAAATTTGTGTTGACAAATGATGTAAACGCTTAATACTTTCTCAGCAGTTTGAAGGTATGATAATCTAAGTTTGAGTCTTGCTAGACCTATTGTAGAACTGGTTTCTTGGGTGTGTGTGAATGTTTCCTCTCTGGAAAATATTTTGGACGAAAAAAGAACTGTAACTAAAAAGTATTAAAATTTGTAGCTCCTCATAAAAAAAAAGTTCAGTCGGTTGTCTTTTGACAAATGAAAATTAAATGCGATGTAAGAGCGATATGGCAAGGTGGATCTGATAGGTCCGAGCCCTCTTAAGGAGCAATTTACTTTTATGAAATTGACTAATTCAAGCCCAGTTTTTTCTACGCCTTCGTATGTTTTGAAGCAAAGGAAAGTTAGAGCGAAAAATGTGTTTTACTATTCTTCTCGGATGATAAAGAATTAATTACTAAATGTAATTTATTCGATTAGCTCGCATCCAATCGGAACCTCCAAATCTATGAGACATTCGGTAAGACTGCGAAGATTTATTGCTCTGCTTGCCACAAAAGGAAAGCAAGGCAGTTTTCGCAATTTATGAACACGATCCAGCGGCCCATCTCTAATACGTATGGAGCACTACCCAAGCAAAGTCCAGCATCAAAATTACAGCAAATTAAAATCAAGTTTTGATATCAACATCAAACTGAAATCCTAATTTGATTTCAGTTTATGCAATTGATACATTTTGTTTTCATGTTGCTGTACATTTGCTCTTCAAAAATATGTTGTTGCGGGTTTGTTTTCATTGCCTTAGCATAACATCAAATTGATTACTTGTTTTGTTATCAACAGGAAAAATTGATATCAAATTGAGTTTTTAGTTTGCTCTCACTGATAACAGAAATAGTTTTCAATGTGATGTCACAGGAATATTTTTTTGCTCTCAATTTTGATATTTTAACCGTTAAAACGACCAAAACGACAGCAACCTGAGCAATCATTATCAGCGAAATCACAACATCAAATTTAGATTTCAATTTGATCTCAGACTTTGCTTATAAGCGTGTGAGTGAGTACCCGAGCAAAGTCTGAGATCAAATTGAGATCTAAATTTGATGTTGTGATTTCGCTGATAATGACAATTTGATATCAATTTTTCCTGTTGATAACAAAACAAGTATTCAATTTGAGGTATTGCTAAGGCAATGAAAACAAACCCGTAACAACATATTTTTAAAGAGCAAATGTACAGCAAAATGAAATCAAAATTTGGTATCAAATTTGTCAATATGTAAACTGAAATCAAATCACAACATCAAATTTAGATTTCAATTTGATCTCAGACTTTGCTCGGGTAATCAGTGTAGTCCAGTTATTTTGCCGCTTCGAGCTTTATTTAGAGTACTGATTTGCACTGAAGGCGAGTGTTTATGTCTCACATTTTGTTTATATTATGCATGTTTGATCTGTTGGCTCTAGTTTGTTAGCAGTCGTCTTCTAAAAGAATACGTATTTATCATAGTGCTAAAATCGTAAAGTAGCTTTACTTTCGGCACACGAGACCGGTTGACTCTAATAGTACGTTCATACCGTAGCTTGTTTCATTAAAGTGACGCTGGTTCAACCGGTTTTCCACATCACAGAGTGTGAGAGAGTGGTCTGAACGAACCAACCGAATCGCATTCACTTGTCGAGCGCGGGGAATCCCCAACATGATGGGTTATTTTTAATTTTTGTTGTTTCCCTTCCCAAGGTGGCGTTTGTGGCTTTTACCTGCTATTTCTGCCTTCCGACTTTGAAGAGCTCCACCTGGTCTGCAGGGCATCTAATGTGTTTTCTAGGAAGTTTTTAGTATTTGACATACTGAGGCGCATCATCATCCGTCACTCGCTGGGAAACTCTGGTAAATGTCAACGTGTTTACCGTTGAGCAAATGGTATCTATGCAATCCTTTTACTGCAGCTTCTTCTCCGTTCTCCTAGTTTCACTATGTGCGCCTGTTGGTAATGGTCACGTAATCACAAAAATCAGAAAACATGTGTCAATCACACTCTTTCTCGATTCTTGATGGCTATTTTTGCATCGAAATCCCAAATAGCTTCAACGGTGCAGCACACTCTCACTTTGTTTTGAACTTTGCGCTTTCTTTTCTTCTGGGACGAGAATTTTTCTTTTCGGGAAAAGTCACCGACCAGAAAATTGACCTTTCCTGTAACAGTTTTTTTTTCTCTCTTGATGCTCAAAATTTGATCCACCCACAACCCACTTGGTTTGAATGACACTTGCTTGTTTTCTAATATTCAATATGAAGTAATCTCTTGACAATAAATTTATTTGAGGGCAACTAAACGCGACTCAGCTCGCTCAGCTTTCCGTAACGACTGTCCAAAGTGGCTTACTGGCGATGTAACTAAGTAGCATCCACGCGTATCATGCTCCGATCGAGAGCGGGAGAGATTCGCCTTGTTGCTTTTATATGTATGTGGGTACAGGAATCCTCCTAATAGGTGACTGATATATGGTTGATACAAATCATAACAACAAAAAATCCGCTGAATTGGTTGGAGTACAGCCGAGAAAAGTGGTGCGTGGTTGTACAACTTCTAACCACTGGCAGACTGGTTTATCGAATCTCAATAAGATGCTGCACGCTGAAGACAAACGGTGGTTTGTTTACCTTCGCCTGTTACTCGATTCAAGTAGATTTGAGTTTTTAAATAAAAAGGAACAAAAGATATCTAAACAAATCTAAAATAAAACATTAACAAATATAGGGGAAATGGATGTAATGTTGGCCTAAATGCCCCTAATTTTGGGCCCATACATAAATTCAGCAATAGCGACCAAAAATATCAATTAGTACCTTCCCAATGACGCGTTCATCTAGATAAAATTGATAAATAACAGATTTTTAGCGATGGCCCCAATCTTAGATCCATAGGCCAACATTAGAGCCATTTCCCTATTTATTATTTTCAAGTCCATGCGAGATCCAAATCGCTATCAAATTCGTTCAAATTTGACACATTTGTTGGAGATATCAAAACAATCTAACAAGGGATTGTATAGTTGGCCCACCCTAATGAGCGTCCATCTCCCCTTACAAAGGCGAATGGAAGCCGTCATACTGTATGACATTATTGGCGAGTGTTTGCGCCCACTCTTGTGGAACCAGTTTAAAATGCATTTTGTTTAGGTTCTCTCAGGGGTTTCTCTCTTTTCTCATCCTGTTAAGCAAGCATTGTAGACAGTGTGAGTTAGTATTTAAAATTAAGTGACCAACAGCGGCAAAGCGAATCAGACATGGAGGGGAGAACATCCCATAATGCACTGCTGGGCTAAAATGACTATTTGTAGAAAAACAACGATAACTTTTCCTCAGATACATTTTACGGGTAACGTATTGTGCTTGTTTTCATCTGGAGATTACACAAATAATTTCTGATCATGAAATCATAACATACTTATGTTCTGGTGCGTTTTATTGTTGTCGTGTCTCAATGTTGTGGTGTACAGTGCAGCAAATTTTCAATTCATTCATTTGAATCAGATCAAACCCAAACCATCAGTCAAGTCTGACAACCCTTCTATTCATCACAAACATCGGAGGTGGATGAACAAATTTGACGTTTGGCAGTGTTTCAATCATACGTACATCTTTTCATGGTCTTTATACCATTTGTTTGAATTCATTCGATCCACCAGTCATGTTGTGCGATAGAGGAAGCCGTGTCGTCGGTAGAAGGGCTTCCACCGTTGGAGGAATATAACTTCCTCTCGAATCTGATCTTGGACAGCGCGCTTCGAGCTCAAACTCGGCCGGTTCCCGGAACGTCTTTGCGTAGGAAACCTCCTTCCCCTTGGTGGGACCACCAATGCACTGAGGTTTATCGTAAAAAGTCCGACGCGTTTAAGCTTTTCCGAAAACGTGGAACATCCGTGTATTTCGAAGCGTACTCGGCTCTTGAACGCGAACTCAAGAGCCTCATCAAAGCCAAGAAACGCGGATACTGGCGGCAATTCGTGGACGGATTATCGCGCGAAACGTCGATGAATACGCTTTAGAACGCGGCGCGAAGGATGCGTAACCGGTCTTCGAACAACGAGAGCGAGGAGTACTCAGATCGTTGGATTCTCAAGTTCGCGCGAAAAGTATGTCCTGATTCCGTGCCGGCACAGATGATTCCTCGCGAAACGACGAATTCTGTAGACGAGATCAGCCAGCCTTTTTCAATGCTGGAACTCTCACTCGCGCTCCTTTCGTGTGGCAATTCGGCTCCGGGGGCTGATAGAATCAAGTTCAACTTGTTGAAGAACCTCCCAGACGTCGCTAAGAGGCGCATGTTGAACTTGTTTTGTCAGTTCCTGGAGCACAATATTGTTCCGGATGATTGGAGGCAAGTGAGAGTTATAGCCATTAAAAAGCCTGGAAAACCCGCTTCAGATCATAACTCGTATCGTCCCATCGCGATGTTATCGTGCATTCGAAAATTGTTGGAGAAAATGATCCTTTTTCGCTTGGACAAATGGGTTGAGACGAACCACCTACTCTCAGATACTCAATTTGGATTCCGTAGGGGCAAGGGAACGAACGACTGTCTCGCGTTGCTTTCCACAGAAATTCAGTTGGCTTTTGCTAAAAAAGAGCAAATGGCTTCTGTATTCTTGGATATCAAGGGGGCTTTTGATTCAGTATCTATTGAAGTCCTTTCAGACAAACTCCACGCTTGTGGCCTTTCTCCATTAATAAATAACTTTTTGTACAATTTGCTGTCAGAGAAACATATGAGCTTTTCTCATGGAAACTCTACAGCTTCTCGATTTAGTTACATGGGTCTCCCCCAGGGCTCATGTTTAAGCCCCCTTTTGTATAATTTCTACGTCAGAGAAATTGACAATTGTCTAAGTGACAACTGCACGTTGAGACAACTTGCAGATGACGGCGTAGTGTCTATGACAGGGCCCAAAGGGGTCGACCTGCAAGGACCCTTACAGGATACCTTAGACAATTTGTCTACTTGGGCTATTCAGCTAGGTATCGAATTCTCCACGGAGAAAACTGAGTTTGTCGTTTTTTCTAGGAAGCATAGCCCAGCACAACCAAAGCTTCAACTTTTGGGTAAACCGATCACTCATTCTATGTCCTTCAAATATCTTGGGGTCTGGTTCGATTCAAAATGCACCTGGAGATCCCACATTGAGTATCTGAGACGAAAATGCCAACAAAGGATCAATTTTCTCCGAACAATTACCGGAACGTGGTGGGGAGCCCATCCGCAAGATCTTCTAACGTTGTACCGGACAACGATTTTATCGGTTTTAGAATACGGTAGTTTTTGTTTCCAGTCGGCGGCTAAAACTCACATCATCAAACTGGAACGTATCCAGTATCGTTGTCTTCGTATCGCGTTAGGATGCATGCACTCGACTCATACGATGAGTCTAGAAGTGTTGGCGGGCATGTTGCCCCTATCGGATCGGTTCTCGGAATTGTCCCTCAGGCTCCTCACCCGTTGCGAAGTTATGAACCCACTGGTAATCGAAAACTTTGAAAAGCTTCTTGAGCTGAACCCTCAAACTCGTTTTATGTCATTGTACTACGTGTACATAACACAGGATGTCAGCCCTTCACAGCATAATCCTCATCGTGTATGCTTCTCCGAATTCGGCCATCAGTTAGTTTTGATTTATCTATGACGCGGGAGATTCGTGGGATCCCAGAACATCATCGTTCCATGATTGTTCGGTCAATTTACGCTGCAAAGTTTGGCCAAGTTGATTCCGCAAGATCGTTCTTCACAGATGGATCACTAATAGAGTCGTCCGCTGGTTTTGGTATTTTTAACGAATTTCATAGCGCCTCTCGAATGCTTCAAGCTCCTTGTTCCGTATATGTTGCTGAGCTGGCGGCAATACATTATACGCTAGAAACGATCGCCTCACTTGCACCAGATCATTATTTTATTTTTACGGATAGTCTCAGTTCTGTCGAGGCCATTCGCTCCATGAGGCCGGTAAAGCACTCCTCGTATTTTCTCATGAAAATACGAGAGCTTTTGAGTGCTTTATCTTTAAGATCTTTTGTCATCACCTTTGCATGGGTCCCATCTCATTGCTCTATTCCGGGCAATGAGATGGCTGACTCACTTGCTAAGGTGGGCGCTATGGAAGGCGATATTTACGATCGACAAATCGCCTACGATGAATTTTTCTTCATTTATCGTCAATAGTCACTCGTCAGCTGGCAGAATAAGTGGAGTGAAGGGAGTTTGGGACGATGGCTATATTCGATCATCCCTAAGGTGTCGAAGAGTTCTTGGTTCAAGGGGTTGGATGTGGGTCGAGACTTCATTCGTATGATGTCTCGCCTCATGTCCAATCACTATTCGTTAAACGCTCACTTGTTCCGTGTTGGGCTGAATGACAGCAATCTCTGTGAATGTGGACAAGGTTACCAGGACGCAGATCACATTATTTGGTCTTGTGCTGAGCATCGCGGAGTCAGATCTGAACTGTGCGATTCCCTTCGGGCTCGAGGTAGACAACCTAATGTTCCAGTTCGGGATATTTTGGCTAGACGCGATCTGGAGTTTATGAAAAGAAGAATATTAACATTAGATTGTAAGTTTTATTAACCTTGTGTTTAGTTTGTATTTTGTACGTGTGGGTTATTTTTTATGTTCGTTTTCAAGATGAATAGAAATTAGTTCATGTTTTAGGATTAATTAAATATTTGTATCGTAAACCACATTTCAAACCTCCCTCTCCCTTTTCCCATCAAAAAAAAATTGTAAATCCCCACTAACCTCGAGACAACCGCGAGTATCCGGTCCAGCTCCTTTAACTTTAAATATAAGAAATCAATAATGTATAACAAAAATGATAACTCGGCTCTGTAAAGTTTATTCGATTGAGCCTGTACAAATAAAGTAATTAATAAAAAAAAAACCAGTCATGTTGTTAATTAAGCTCTTTTCTCCACTAGCCCAAATCACTTGAGCTGTCAAGAAGACGGTTCAAAAAAGAAAGAAGAAGAAGAAGAAGAAGAAGAAGAAGAAGAAGAAGAAGAAGCTCTTTTCTCTTCAAATGAATGGGACAGTCATTCAATTGAAGTAGTTACCAAGGCTCAATTGATATTCTCGTACTAGTGCTAATCGGAATCCAAAATGGAAGGAGGAAAACGAAAAGGTGAAAACACTAAAAGTGCTTCCGAAATTGCTGCCCAATGTCTGCGTAAGGAAAGAGAACGAGCATACTGCCGGATTGAAGAAAACCACGATTGCACATACATTCAATCGAAGTATGATGTCGGAACTTCATCCGGCATTTTCGGAACCGTCACACAAACCTGGCTAAAGAGCACGGTTTGTTTCCTGAACGCT